GCAGTTAATTGAACAAACAAAAAACTATATTAATACTACAGTCACTGGTTACAATATCTGATACATGTTGTTCCAATAGTATACAAAGTTGTTGTAGTGTCCATTGTAGTACTTGATATGCATATATATATATATATATATATATAATCAGAGGTACATGAAAAAATAAAACTTTTCTTGCCACTATCGTAGTGAAAAATGTAATACATCGAAAATGTACAGAAAATATAGTTCTCGTAATCCGTCATATCGTGGGCAGCTATTTTGATCCACCTGGACATCCCAGTATCCTAGTTACCTCAGGCATGCGCATTCGCATTTTTCTGCGTCAGAACGCTTATGCGAGAGCGAGATTGTAACGGGATCTTGGTATCATGTCACCGTAGTTGCAAACCCCAAGTAATGTACCTCTGATATAATATTATTATTGCAACAGTGGTTCATGAGTTCCACACAACAAGACCAGCGCTGCAATCACCACCATCATGTCATTATGGGATGTTACAATGCTACCGGGTGAAAAAAAACCAGTAGTAGAAGTGGAAACAAAAGTAGTTGACTTGCTGAAAGCTGGCAGTCTTTCGAGACACTCCCTATGCAAAGAGTAAATAGAAGAAGATGATGAGAAAAATGAGTGAAAATATCTTGTTTTTGAGTGTGTAGCATTAGAATCCAATGCCTCTACTTGCACCACTATCTTAATTATGCAAATAAATTTTATAGGAATTTTACAAATAAGAGAGCAAATTAAGAATGTACTTGCCAATAATTACAAAAGACAATTAGTCAGTGCTATTTATGGGGTGGTTAATGATTGCTATAGTAATGAAGACACTCACCAGCATTTTGCATTGGACAGTTATCAGTTGGGGCATAGATTCCAAGTGTACTGCCCTCTTCACCCTGTGACCGTGTAAGAAAGTCAGCTTTAATATCATCTGAGTTGGTACCTGCAAAAAATGAAGAGTGACATGTTAGTAGTATACATTAGTTCACCCGTTAGTAAGTCAATTTCTTTCCTCATAATTTTATTAAATTATTGAATGAGTTATCTGGACCAGATATTGCAGATGGAAATGTTTCAGTTCATTTGAGATGTACATGTACATAGTATTATCAGTTGGTTACTAGATAGAACCTACATTTGACTCAGTGAGCGATAATGGCTGCCACTTAGCCATGTTGGATTGAATCAAAATATTATTAATGTAGTTGGCAACAATGAAAACATAGTATCACCAGATACGCTTGACTTTTAATATACATGATACCAACATAAGTGAGATGCTTTTTCTTAGTATAATGGTACTGTGCCCTCAACGGCAAGTTTGGGTCAGCTTTCACTTTGAATTATGTTGTTTTGGGCTAAACGAAAGTCCTACGATTTGCAAAAAATGTTCTTTTATTAATTATGATGTTCTGATGTTAAGTTAGGGAGGCGAGTGATCGCTCGCGCGCTCTATCTATCTATCTAGCTAGCTATCTAGCTCGCTCTCGCTCTCGCTCTCTCTCTACAAATGTCGGCAGAGCACATGTGAGGATTGAGCTGCTTCGCAAAACGAAGTATTAGTGCTGGATAGCTTTGAATCCGAACTGATCAATTTTATAATTTAGTAACCACTGTGAAATAGCGTTTTTCTGATCTCTACTCGAACCGAGCTGAATTGAACTCCCGCAAAACGCGAGACTCGGTTTCCGTGGGAAACAAGATGGCGGCGCCCATGAAGTAAACACGGAAGTGTGAAATCTCTCAACCGCAAGCCAGATAAGTGCATTACGAATATAATCAATTGCTACTATTGCCTTATGTACAACTTAAGTGCATATCGGTGCATATGAATTGTTTCCAGCCTCAACATTATTCATTCTCTTCTGCATTGTTATACTGTTGATGTTCGCCATTGCTGAGCATTGTACGTATATACGTGCCACTTGTTATAGAAATACGCCTATGATCGATGCTAGATGTAACGTTATTGCCAATATAGACATTTGTTTATTTTACGTCTTCGTGACTGAAAACAGCGCCCTCAACTTCAAGAAGTACACCTGTGCAGCGGAAGCTGTGCCCGTTTTCTGCTAGGATTCGTAGTATCTACGACACCTTTACATGCTGCAGAGTTTGTATTCAACGTCTCTGTTTGACTAATGCCAGACATCGTACATCCGTTGAGCAGTTCAACGTACACCTGAGTGAACTCTTGTATTGCTGATGTGAACTCTTTTATTTTATATCTGTATTGGGGTAGTATTTTATATTGAAAAGGAATATTGTACCATCACTGTTGAACGTTAATATATTGTTTATGCATACTTTGATTATTTTCTTGCTTATGAGTTTCTTGCATGTGTGTGTCCTGCGCTACCATTTCGGACCATATAAATTGATTATTTTGTCAACCCTTAGTCTGCTCTATCGCTAGCCCTGGGGAATTGTTTTTGGAAAGAAGGGTAACATACATGTATAGATATTATTTTATGCTGTTGTTTAAAAACTAAGATAATAATATATGCTTGGTCATTATTTATCATCAGTTACTATAGTTATTATAGTTATTAAAGTTCTGCAGAGATTATAGTAGTCATACTTTAATCTAACTTGAGAACAGCAAGTGTAAGAAATGTAATAATGATGTGATAGAGATGCATTTCATTCTGGAATGTACATGTTTTAGAATTCAAATACAATCTTTATTTCTAGAGTGTAACACATCACTAATAAAATCGCAGGCAAGCAAAATGGAGATGTTTTTTTTAAAATAAGGCCAAAAAAAAAAATTGTTTTGTTGCCTTCGTTTTTTTTTTTTAATAGGCCCAAGTATTAAAAGCTCACCATTTTAAGCAGTAAATAAGTGTTTCCTCGAAAAATGTGCAATCCCGAACCGGTGTTCAATCCCCAGGGTTCCCGGGGGGATAAGTGGCGACTTAGAACCTCGGGTTGATCTGTATTTTTTTGACATGTTTCAAATACTATGAAGTCCATATACTTCGACTATTTACGATACCCTTAGTTTTCACAAGTTTCTCAATTCTCTGACTTCAGGGCAACATAAGTTTGTTTGTTTTTTGGCCTGATGAAGCATGATCTTGCCCTTTCCAAATTTTTGAAAAATACATTATTCAATGGAAATACTAGTACTTAAATTATGTAAATACGGAGGTATGTAAATGAGTCTCCAGATGGTAGTTGAGCGCGGTAACTGAGCGTCTCAGTTTTCACGAACATAGGAGTTGAGCGTACGCTCATTTTCAAAAGTAAGCGTGGGAACAAACCATGGAATGCTGATAATGTAATGGAAGCCACGCTCAGTTTAACATGAAGTCGATACAAGTTCGTTTCAGAGGTCCAACTTAAGTTCAAAAATCCAATCTGGATATATCACATATTCACGTGAGGGGACGTTTGTTGAAACAGGCGCAACCATATTTAATTAAATATTCATGCAGTTTGAACCCTATGACCTTGTAAGATGGATGCGTCTGGTAATGAGAGACTACGCTCACTTTTACAAGTAATAGTAGGCCTGGGAACAACAACAATGGAACGAGGAGTGCGTGTGTCTGATTTCAAGTAACCACAGTAGAGGGACTGTGAAGTATAACCATATATTTAATAGTAATAAAGATGCAACTCTGACGTTTGTTTTGTCTTGAGTGTGTAAGCGTGGAACCAAGCAATGGAATAGAGTGCGCTCACTTTTAAAAGTAAGCGTGGGAACAATGTGATGGTAATGTGATGATAGCTACGCTCAGTTTATTATGAAGTTCACATATTCACTTGAGAGAATGTATGTTAAAACAAAGCAACCATGTTTAATTAAATATTCAAGCAGTTTAACCCCTATGACATTGTCTTTTATATGCAATGTCAGTTTTAGTATGTTATACTTTATTTTTTCTATTTTGTCCCCTGATGGTTTTGGTTGTGTAATAA